AAGACAGAGTCTCACTCTGTCACCCAGGCTAAAGTACACTGCCACGATCTTGGTCCACTGCAACCTCCGCCTCCTGGGTTCAAGTGATTCTCTGGCCTCAGCCTCCCAAAATGCTGGGATTACAGGCATGAGCCACTGTGCCCGGCCAATATGTTAAGCAATTTTGAGTTTTTTTGTATGACAGACACTGGATATAAAAGAATCATAGAGGTTACAGATGGCACTTTTTCAACCAGAGGGGACTGCCCCTTCTCTGTTAGGCTGACTGCATGGAGCCCATTGTTGCATTCCCTTTGAAAACTCGGCAGGCTGAGGCCTGGCTGTGCTTCAGTCTGGTTACTGCAGCTCTGAGCCAGCTGGGCTCTCCGTCTTCTCAAACTCCTTCCAAGTTCCAGCCCAGCCTCTAGTCGCACGAACTTCAAAATCTGGCATATGTCTCTGGCATGCTTTTCTTCTGAGATGGAGTCTTTCCTGTTGTCCAGGCTGGAGTGCAGTGGTACGATCTTGGCCCACTGCAACCTCCGCCTCCTGGGTTCAAGTGATTCTTGTGATTTTGCTTCCCAAATAGCTGGGATTACAGGCGTCCACCACCATACCCAGTTAATTTTTGTATTTTTAGTAGAGATGGGGTTTCACCATGTTGCCCAGCCTGGTCTCGAACTCCTGACCTCAGGTGATCCGTCCGCCTGGGCCTCCCAAAGTGTTGGGATTACAGGTGTGAGCCACCACACCCAGCCTCAAGGCATGCTTTTGTTCCTAAGCACCTGGGAAGTGCAGGAAGCCTGCTGTTGTGGGCTTTCTGCCTGGATTTCCTGCTTTCCTGGACTAGACCGGCAGGTGTGTTGCTTGGATGCCCCCAAGCTGCCGGCCTGTTCCACCAGACCTTGCGATTGGATGCTCTTTCTCCAGCAGAGCTTCTCTGCCCGGGAAGCCTGGGCTCTGGACAAGCCTGGAATCGTCAAATCTTCCTGGGAAAAAAATATCCAACTAGACAGCACCTCACCTCCAAAAGGCTCCTCTGGTCAGGGTTTTAGTTCACCCAATCATCACTTTCACATCTCAGGTACCTTTCAAAACAGGATCTTCCAAATGTGTCCAGGTTTTTGTGCTTGTCACAGCTGAAGAATGGGCCCAGTGCAGCCGGGGCCTCCTGTCCATCCCAAAGCGGTAGTTTTGCCCAGCTTTTAAAAAGATGTGCAGTTGGCTGGTTATATCTGCCTGTATTTCACAGCAGACATGTATTAAAATATCCACTCACCAAATTTCATCATGTTTTTCGCAGGTTCCTTCTTAAGGGCTCTACCCAGATGCCTCTTTCCAGCTTACTCTTCCAGGGTGGCACAAAATCCTGAGCTGAAGGCTGCCTTTCTTTTTTTTTTGAGATGAAGTTTCCCTCTTGTCTCCCAGGCTGGAGTGCAATGGGGCAATCTCCACTCACTGCAACCTCCACCTCCCAGGTTCAAACAATTCTCCTGCTTCAGCCTCCCGAGTAGCTGGAATTACAGGCACCCGCCACCACGCCTGGCTAATTTTTGTATTTTCATTTGGTAGAGACAGGGTTTCTCCATGTTGGCCAGGCTGGTCTCAAACTCCTGACCTCAGGTGATCCACCCGCCTCAGCCTCCCAAAGTGCTGGGATTACAGGCGTGAGCCACTGCACCTGGCCGAAGGCTGCAGTTTCTGAAGCTCTGTCAATGCCAGGCCCTGTGGACAGTAACAGATAAGTCCTCAAACCCTGTCACTGGAGGAGGCACCGGCTTATCTGTGGATTCTCACTGTTTTCCGTGGGGAAAACAGGGGGGTGGGGTGAGAACAAGCAGCCATTCTGTCCAGTGGCAGGGCCGGCATGCCGCTGCACACCCGGGTCCCAGGCGCCCTGCCCATGGCTGTGGTTCCCACATCAGGGCCCCAGCATGGGCAGCAGAGTCGCATTCCATCTACACCGCTTTCTACAAGGTGCAGTGACTCACGCCTGTAATCCCAGCACTCTGGGAGACCAAGGTGGGAGGAGGGCCTTTCAAGCCTAGGAGTTAAAGACCAGCCAGGGCAACACAGCAAGACCCCATCTCTAAAGCGTTTTTCAGTTAGCTGGGTGTGGTGGTACACCTGTAATCCCAGCACTCTGGGAGACCAAGGTGGGAGGAGGGCCTTTCAAGCCTAGGAGTTAAAGACCAGCCTGGGCAACACAGCAAGACCCCATCTCTAAAGCATTTTTCAGTTAGCTGGGTGTGGTGGTACACCTGTAATCCCGGCATTAATCTCTCGGCAGCATTCTGCCTCCAGCCCGCGTAGCTTCCTCCTCCTCTCCATCACCCGTGCAGGCCAAGTGCAGGTGTGCTCCCAGGACATCCGCTCCACTCCTGCGTGGCCTGGGCCCCCTCCCAGCCCCACACTGCCCAGGGGGCTCCTTCCCCAGCCACGGCCCGGCGCCTCCTTCCTGGAAGACCCCCATATGTGGAGTGGGGGCACCTGTGCCTTCCTGGTCTAGATGGCGTCTGTCTCCTCTCCTCGCCATGGTCTCCTCCCCAGCGCCCGAGGAAGGCGGGACTGCGGACTCCAGGTCCAGGGGTCATGTCCTCCCAAGCAGGGGGGAAGCAGCGACAGCCATCTCCCAGACAAAACATGGACTGAGCCAAGTGCCCCTGTTCCTGTGCCCACTGACTTGCCAAAGACCACCCGCCAAGGCCACAAGAGCTTACAACCCCATCTGCAGGACGACAGGGTCCCAGAGCCCATGGAGTCACTTTTCACTGTCTGGACTCACAGCACCTCTGGTCCTCATGGAACAGAGTTCCAGGCTTCTGCGTCCCCAGAGGAAACCTGGTCGCAGTGATCAGCGGCCATGGTAGGGCACACCAAGCTGTCCCAGGCCAGGGGGCCAGGGTGGCATGCGGCCATGAGCTTCACGTGGCCCCTGTCCCTCCAGGAGGCCCCTGCTCAGCTCTGTCGGCTCAGAGAGGCCACCCAGCAAAGCCCTTGGCCCATGTGAAGGGAAGGCGTTGTGTTTTAAAAGGGGCCCCCCATGCAGACACAGACGTAAACCAGTAACTAAAGACAAAGGGCACAGGTGAAGTGTCCTGACTCCAACACATGCGAGCACTTCGGGGACGGTGGAGATGGTGGGCACGGTAGGGGTGATGGGGGTGCCGGGAATGGAGGGGGTGGCAGGAAGGGTGGGGGATGTGGGGACAGTGGGGGCAGCGGGGATGATGGAGACGGTGGGGACAGTTAGCTGCTGCTGCACCATGTCAGGAAGTGTGAGGCTCACTTCCCCAGCTCAGACCAAGAGAGTGCCCACCCTATGCGATGCCCAAGCAGAGGCAAAAGCAAGGCCTCTGTGACCCCCAAGGGGCCACTTGTGCCCCCAGGAATATTAACCTGCCCACCCTTCCTTACAGAGAGGAGGAGTACCCGGAGGCGGCTACACATGACTTCAGCACCCACCTGTGCCCTCCCCTCCCCTCCCCGCCATCCCCACCTTATTTTCCGCAGCAGCGTGTGGAAGGGCCGGAACAGCTCGGACATGTCTTCCACCTTGCGGTCCAGGTTCAGGGGGCCGTCTGCGTAGACCACGAGGCCACTGCATTTGAGACACAAAAGCCAGATGTCAGGGCCTGCGGCTCCCTGGGCACTGCAGACGCCCAACTTAGACACCTGCAGAACCGAGGCGGCATCACTGTCCTGGCACGGCCGCTGCCTCAGGCTTTCCCTCGTGTGATTTCGTTGTAAGTAAGTTTAGAAAAAAGCAATGAAAATTATTACCCAGACTTCATCCTCTTTGGCAGTTGATGAGCTTGTGATCATTGGAGGGTCATAAAGTAATCATAAAAGCATATTTGTACACTTCAGCGCTGTAATCAGATAAATTAGCCTCAAGAGTTGTTACCAAAATCTACCTTCTTGCAAGCAAAAAAAACTAGATTTGTGGTTAAATTTATCTGCAGAGTCTTATGAGAATTAGACCTGGAACCACCTTCTCCAAAAGCAAAACCAGCTGGAGGTGCGAGCTGAGGCCCCGCACAGGTTCCCCTCCTGCAGCCTGGCCACCACCCCACCACCCCACAAGACCAAAGCAGCCTCCCTGTCACCCCCACACAGGACCCACCTCCCGCATGGGTGTCCACCATGCCCCGAGAAGCTCCCCAACTGGGGCCCCATGTGGCCAAGGCTGGCTTTCCTCACTGTCCCTACCCCAGAGGGACAGCTCACGGCCTGTTGAAGGACAAGCCTCCCAGACGCCACCTTCAGTGGCCCCCACTCCTCTCTTCGCACCGTCCAGCCCTGCCCTGCTCAGAGCATGCCTTGATCATCTGTCTCAGCCTGTCTCTCCATCCCAGAGGACCTTCTCTGGGCGCCTCCTCCTGGGTCTCCTGGGACCAGACCATGTCTCAGGTGCCCGGGGAGCATCCACCCACGAATTCATCACCTGTCCCTCATCATCATCATCCTGTTCATTCTCATCAGAGCACAGACGAGGGCCACATGGGCTTGTCTGCATACATGGAGCACCACCGGCCTGTCTCTTTCAGCAGAAGTGACACCAGGGTCAGGTCCGGCCAACACCATCCAACACGAAGTCCCCGGCAGCTCAGGGAGTCTCCTTGTCTACCACACCCAGCTCAGTGAGAAAGACTGATAAACAGAATCGAACAAAGGGAATGTTTCTCCCTAAAAATGGCTGGGTTTCATGTGCAGAAAGCAAGCTTTGAAAGGCACAGGGACGGTGGCCCCAGGCCCTGGGGAGTGGCCAGCCCAGCTGGACAGGGGGCTGTTTCCTGACCACCTGTGGGTGAGGGGACAGCACAGCCAGGCCTCCATTCTGTTTGGTCTCCTTTGTGGCTTTTACACGAGCTGCCCATCATGATCAAATGAACAATATTCAGGGGACAATTGAACAAACAGAACCTTAACTTCGAATCAGGCAGTCTCGGGACAAAGGCAGAGTAAAGCAGAGCAGGGAAGGGGCAAGGGCCTGACTCCAGCATCCTGGCCTCAGGGAAGCTGCCCCCAAACCCAGCAGAGCTCCCTCCCCTGCTGTGCACAGGCCTCAGCCCCTCGATGACCCATGTACACAGCGTCTGCCCCTCTGGAAACCTTGCTCTGCCTGCATGGGGCAGCAGCGTGGCCGAGGGAGGATCCAGCTGCCCCCCAGGGCAGTCAGCAGGATTGGGGGATGAGGCAGGCCTAGGAGAGCAGCTCGTCAGGAAGCTCAGACCCTGAGGCTGCTGCGCCATGTCCTCCGGGGGCTTGGGGGGACCCAAGGACCCCCTGGGCCGTATCCCTGCGTCCAGCTGTGTTGGCTTTCTCATGCTGGATGCAGGGCACCGTGCCCTCCACAGGGGCTGAGCCCTGCTGCTCGGTGGCTCTGCAGTTGCCTGAACTACCGATAAGACACCTGTGGGACAGGAGCTCAGACCCAGGTGCTGAAATAATGGAGCATGGGGGCTGGAGGTGGGAGGGTGGGGGGAGCAGCCCTGGAGGCTCAGCATCTGTCTCTGCACCTGGCCCAGCACTTGCAGGAATCCAGCTGAGGGGCCTCAGAATGAGGCCTGGGAATGAGCTATTACCGGGAACAGGGGGCCCGATGCAGCTGCTGCCTGTGGCTACAGCCCCTCAGGGCTGGGGGATCCAGGCATCTCGCCCTCACGGGCCACTCAGGCCTGTGTCCATGCTGCCATGAGCAGAGGTAAGGCAGCACCCACAGGTCAGCCTGGCAGGCAGGTGGTGGGATCCCGGGGTCTCAGTACAGCCAGGGGCATCATGAGGGCATCTTGAGGGCTTTGGCCCAGGTCCAGTTAAGGTGAGCAGGTGATTACAAGTACGTGCCACCATGCCCGGCTAATTTTTTTAGTAGAGATGGGGTTGCACCGTGTTAGCCAGGATGGTCTCGATCTCCTGACCTCATGATTCACCTGCCTCAGCCTCCCAAGGTGCTGGGATTACAGTATGAGCCACTGTGCCTGGCCTGTTTTCTTTTTTCAAGGAAATTCATATAACAACAATGAACTGTTTTAAAGGGCACGATTCTGAGGCATTTTCTGCATTCACAGTGCTGTGCACCCATCACCTCTCATTTCAAAACGTTTTTATCACCCCAGGAGACACACCTTTAGTAATCACTACCGACGTCCTTGCCCCAGACACTGGCCATCTCTCATCTGCTTTCTGTCTCTATGAATTGGCCTACTCTGGGTTTTTCACATAAATGCAATAACGTAATACATGACCTTTGTGATCTGTTTTCACCTTGCACTGCGTTTTCAAGGCTGGTCATGTTGTGGCACATGGCAAGTGTTCCCGCGTGTATAATTCTTCATTCATCCACAGCGGATACCTGGATTGTTTCTGCCTTTGGGCTGTTATGAAGAATTCCGCCACAAACATTCATGTATAGGTTTGTTCGAGGACGCATGTTTTCATTACTCTTGGTGAACGCCCAGCAGGGTATGTGGGATGTCCATATGGATCATATAGGTCTAGGTCTAACTTTTTAAGGCACCACCGAACTGTTTTCCATGGCAGCTACAGCATTTCACGCTCCCACCAGCAATCCAAGGGTTCTTACTCCTCCACACTCTCAGCACGTGATCCGCTCCATTTTTCTGACTGCAGCCATCCTGGTGGGTGTGAAGTGGCATCTCATCGTGGTTTTGATTTGTGTTTCCTTAACAGTCAATGATGTGGAGCATGTTTCCATGTGCCTGTGTGCCATTTATACATATTCTTTGGAGAATTGGCTGTTCAAGTCTTTCCTCATTTTTAAATTGGGTTGTTTGTCAACTTGTTGTTGAGTTGTGAGGGCTCTTTATATGTTCCGGACCTTAAATCTTCATCAGACATGATTTGCAAATACTCGTTAGGTTGTCTTTTCATTTTCCATATAATGTCCTTTGGTGCATAACGATTTTGAACATTGATGAAGTCCAGTTTCTCTTTTTATCTTTTTGTGCCTGTGCTTTTGGTGTCAAATCCACTGCAAAACCCCAAAACAAGTAGATTTACCCTCTATATCAGTCAGAGTTCTCTAGAAAAACAGAACAAGAGAGAGATTTATTTTAAGGAATTGTTTCATCCAATGGTGGAGGCTAGCAAGTCCAAATTCTGCTGGAGACCCAGAGAAGAGTTGACGAGGCAGCTCCAATCCAAGGGGTCTGGAAGCAGATTGCAGTCTGCTTTCTCTCAAGGCCTTCCACTGATTGGATGAGGCCCACCCACCCACACATGGAGGGTCGTCAGCTATATTCAGAGTCTACTGATAATAAACGCTAATCTCATCTTTAAAGCACTGCACAGCATGAGGACATGAGGTTATGTCCACCTTGCACAAGCGGATGCTACATTGGACACTGATGGGCAGAATCATCCATTCAATGAAGCACAATTTGTGTTGAACAAGACAAGCTGGGTAAAGCATTTGAAGGTGCTTTTGAGGTATGGAGATAGCATTCAACTGATCTTCAGTCCTCCCCTGATGACAAAAATTATCTGGCTTTCATCAACCACTGTCCTCATGTCAGAGGACATTCCATCTGCTAATGAGTGCTGCCCACAGACAAACCTATGTATAATAACAGCAGGAAGAAGCTCTGACCGTTTGAACACCTTCACAAATCCCCACGTAATGCCAAGATGGCATCTTGTATCCAGGGGTAGATAAAACCAAAGACATCTTTCCATTTGTATTGAAAAATAAAAACTTGACCTTTAGGGGAAAAGTGAAGTCAACCGGAACCCCATGACTTACTCAGAAAATGGCCAGGGCCCTGAGGAATTATGGAAGAACTGGAGAAATCACCAAAATCCAGAGGGAGCTGACTCAACAATTTACCAAGGCCATCCTCCAAAGACTCTATCTTATTTCTTGGGGAAAGTGATCTTCTACTAACAGTATGTTCAGCCTGATCAAGAATATCTCAGTTTAAATAACTGGAATGCAAATTATAACTATACATATGCCAATTACCATGAGCTAAGTCACCCTGATTGCTAAATATACACTCAGGTTTCATGATTTCCTGGCATCAGAAATCCCTACAAGCTTCAGGATTTTTCTCTTAAACCAAATGCCAAAGAGAAAAAAAAATAATTAACTTTATTATTGCTATCTTTTATCAAATAGCATATACTCTATACCAGCTTGGTGGGAAATCCTGCCAATGAATGCATTTATTGTGGGAAATGACCAAGCCCTACGCGAGAGTACAGACTCAATGGCCTTGCTCTTACTATTCTCTATGCAACCCCTTTCTTCCAGATTAATACTGCCAGTACAGGTAACTAACAATGATTCAAACATTTTTTCTGTCATATACTCAGGTGAAAAATCACTCTAACCTATATTTGATGGCTTTATAAAAAATCATTTACAAAAAAATGATTGCATACGATAAAAGCATTTGTTCCAAAATACATTCAAGGCTTTAAAAACTTCAGTGAAAATGTATATTCGGTTCCCTTACTCATTTTTTTCCTTTTCCTCTCTTTTTAAATCTCTGGTTTTTTTTTTCTTTTAAGAGACATAGTCTCACTCCACTGCCCAGACTATAGTTCAATGACGTGATCATAGCTTACTGCAAACTG